CCCACCGCAGGTGCAAGAGGATAATTATAATCCTTATCCCTTTGGTCCTTATCGAGGTAAACACCCCTATCATCGAGTAACTTGATGTCGCATTCGGTTGGTGGTGAGGCATTACCCATTCTATAACCAGGATTCATGGCCGCAAAGCCTTTGAGATCAATAATAACACGACCATCAGCATTTATCTTCTCTACTATCATACATCTGTCCATTTTGTCTCGTTTCCAGCGCATTAACGAACCACTGTAATTCATATACTTCCTTTCGAAGGCAATCTCGAAAAATTTTTTTCCGTTATTGATGATATCTTCCTGAATTGATTCTTCAACATCAGAGAAGTTGGTGGGTATAACAGGTAAATCAGAGAATCCCATTTCCGCGTCGAAGTATCCAATTTTACGTCTTATAGAACCAAAAATTCATTCCCATATTCTTTGTTATACGCCATGCTATCATATAACTACTGTACCAAAGAAAGCTTAAGGGCTTAAATGAAAAAGTTTAAAATAAACATTATGCTTAACTTTCTCATATTCTTTGTTATATGGCACGCTATACCAAAAATCTCTAAACGATGCTAAATTACATGATGCGATCGTAATCCGAAATTATATCTCTAACAGTACAGTATCTACTGTAAATAAAAAGCTTAAAATAAAAAGGGTTAAATGAAAAAATAAATTAAATTAAGCTCATATTGTTTTGTTGTTTTTACGCATAATAAAAACATCTTAAAATGAGAGAAAATAAAATATCCGAGAAACGTGCTTCACTTCTTGAACGTGATCGTCAACGAAAACGTCAGAAGCGGGCGGAAGAAACTACAGTACTTATCAACGTGAAGCTTGTCTAGCTCAAATTCGAGATCGATATAAAAAAACATAATATTAATGAATTTGCAGAACTTCAATTGCAAAAAAGATTAATGAACACCTTGCACATGATCGTCAAAAGAGCGGTCAGAGGAAACTACTGATAAACGTGAAATACGTCTAGCTCGAATGCGAAAACAATTAAAATCCAATACGGTCAACTCTCGATAAAAGTGCACAATAGTCAATATACTGTATGTTGATGATCGAAAATAAAAGTATAATACGTATGTAATGATTTTTACTACGTACGGTACTGTAATTATATCAACAGTTTCTTTTATCGAGAGTTGACATTTCGCAAATTTTACATTCCTACTCTAATTACCTTACGTCTAGAAACTCAACCATTTTATCTTATAATACAGTAAGCAGCGTATGTAAAAAAAATCTTTTACAGTACAGTTTGTTTATTCGTATACTGTATATGCATCACATCACATCCATGCATAAACCGGCTACTGTACAGTAGTACGTATACAGTACTGCGGGGGTACTACTGTACTGTATACAGCAAACAGATCTAATCTACCGTTACATATACTCAACGCAAAATGTAAATCATTCATGCATCTATCGAACTCATTAATCAGTTTCTCGAAATTTTTTTTAACAAAATTTGCGCCCATGTATCTTTTAAAACCTGACAAATTTGAAACATCTTCCATGAAATTTTTTATTTCTTTTAATACTCTAACAAATTTGTGGAATGCTTTATAATATCCAAAATCTTCCAAGCGTTTTTCGTAGACACTTTGATTACGTCGTAGGTTTCTGATGGCAATCTCTGCATTGTCAATTCTATCCATTAGTGAGGCACATATTTTTTTGTTATGTTTAACGTTGTTGTATATTTTTTCTGCTTCGGACACAATTTGAAGGACAGTGCTAAATAACGGCAAATAGTATTGTGTGATGGAAACAAAAG